CAAGTGTGAAACAAATAAATAAGTAGGAAAAGAGTGCTAAATATATGACTTATCCATATGGGAGAATTTAGGTTATTGAAGCAAAGTTCGGTACTATATCAGTCTTCTACGGATACTCAACTTTCTACAAGTTTTTCTGCATTCAATAAAGAGGCACAATCCCTCGACGATCCAAAATTTGCACCATTTACATGAATCGAAGCAAGGAATAATAGCGATAATTCAAATATTTTTTCTTAATCCTATGTTTTGTCCACCACTTCCCTTGGTTGTTTCTTGGGTATACAATATTTCGATTACATGATTTGCGTTTGTTTTTTTATATTTCAACCTTAATATTGCTAAAAAGCAGAACAGAATTAGCTGAACCATCACTGAATTATAAGAATCTGAAACGAAAACGTGAAGTAAACTATTTTTTTTAGTAGCCATGATATCATCCGGATTTTATATGTCCTTAGAAAATTTCTCAATTCTCATCGGTATACAAACTTGCCCTTCATACATATAATGAAAATTCATATATTCATGTACTATTCATGTACGCTTGGACAACAAAAAAGACTTTTGAAAATTTGTGAGAATAACAGAATAAAAAGGAAGGAAAGCCTATCGTAGTAGGAGAGAATCTAAATTGTAAGTAGAATTGGAAGTTATAACATTACTGACTTTTGTTTGATCTTAAATTTGAATAGCTGAGAAATGCTTGTACGTAAAAAGCTAATCTAATCATATATTAGTAAAAATCTTTTATGAAATAAATTTGAAGCTAAAAAAGAAATTAAAAATCGTAAATTGTAATTTAACAATTTCCTCACGGTAGGTACATTTTCTAATTTCTGAGCAATTTATTATCCCCTACGCTCTCCGACAAGAAAAGGAGTATATGACTGAACCAATGCGTGGCACATTCAGGCTTCCATATTGATCGATAGGGAAGAAAAAGGCTACACCGTGGGATGGACCATACAGTGACTAATGAAAAGAGGGCCACACAATGGGTGGGAGAGAGAAGCTAATGGTTCTTTCTTTTGGAGGTTGGTGGTGTGGGTGGACGCGGTGCGTGCTGACTTGCATGTTCAGTTTTACGTGTGGATATCCTCCACCAAAGGAAGTGTTCTTTATTTGAGAATTACGTTACAGTGTAATAAATTGCAATGCAAAGTTTACATTTTTCAGTGCGAGGTGTAATAATAAGTAAGGACATGGCATATAACACGTAATGAAATAATTATTTGTTAAGAATACTCCGAGATATAGAGAATAGCATCAGAGGAGAAGTTAATGACTTTCACTACTGAATTCAAATGGATTTGTTCGAAAGGAAATTTCATCAGTGTTTGCTACAGCGATTAAAAAGCCGAACTTGAATGAAATTCGAAAAAATAAAAATTGAAACAACACGGAATGAAAATCCGTGTTGTTTTAATTTTTAAGAAATGGTAGTTACAAGGGAAAAAATCAAAGTCCATCATATTCGGATCATTTGAACTTGTTATTCATGTTGATTTTTGATTTTTTCTCTTGCTTAAGATTTTAGTTGAAAGCTGAACTCCTTACTTTTTTTTGGGTTGCAAAATGTTAGCCTGTTTCTTAAACATAATGTAATAATAAAAAAAATGGCACATTATAAGAGCGGGGTGATAACCAAATTTGATATAGCATATGACCAAGATTTTAGATGACCAAAATCGAATTTGGCATTTGATCATTCAACGTATTGTAAGTTAAATAAAAATTGTGTGATAGATTTCACTAAAAAAGTAAGCATTTTCCATTAAACGCAGTATGAGATAAAAGCGTATGGGGTAGCGTAATTGCGGATGGAATAACGGATTTCTCGTAGAAAATTGTGTTTATAATTATGATTAGAGCTGTTAGCCAATATCATTTCAATTTACAAAAAGGGATGGTGCGTAATTGTCATTCAATTTTTCCATCCTTAATGAATATTTAAGTTAAATTCTAATGTCCACATTTCTTTAGAAAGTTAGGTAATATTTAAAAAATCAACTTGCTGCAAGGAAAATACAATTTGATAGATTAGAGTTGTTTAATAGTAACAATTATCGTTGCATGTACTTTGTGAATACTTAACTTTTCATATTTTCATAAAATCTACATTTCAGAATGATTATAAATGATGAAAAAGGTCCAAGCCTTCGGACATCGATATAATGAATTATTATTTGCAAGAGAAGGTTGTAATGTTTTTATGCTATTAGTAGGTGACACAAGTGGCTATTCATTTTTTACATTGCATTTTCTATTTTTATAATTTTTTTTATACAAAGCTGATTATTGAACTTTTGTAAGCAAGAATCAATGGAAGAGAAAAAGTGTTTTAATGTGAGTGAGAATGTTAGAGTGAACTTTAACACAGATCCCTATTTTTTAGGCAATATTCATTTAATGCTGTTCCTTGAAAGAGAATAATACAGTAATCACTGTTGTTTTACAGATGGAGGAATTCATTTGCGCTCGCTTGAGGGAAGCGTAGGAGCGAAAAAAAAAATGATAGTGGTGAAAGAATCGAAGGAGTGAATGGGCAAATGGAAGAGGAGGCAGAATTGAGGACGATGAAGTGGAGAAGACCTCTCCCTCTGAAACTAATGATGAGGGAGGTGGAAGGTCAGTGAGAGACTCTCCTGACCCTGATAGCAATGAAGAGAAGTGACCAACTGGCGTGAAGTGATGCCCTCTGCTGGACGATAATGACGAGGAAACTACTGAGGAAAACTCAGTAAGTTCAGGACTACTTCAATTTTCACACTTCTGACTACCGCAATGAAGAGTAAGGGTTGCGGGTTTCTATTGGGGAAATAAGTGAGATTGTAATTACTTCATTGTTTTCATTGGATTAAGGGTTATGGCTAGTTCAGAGCTTGGTTAGATTGAGGGTTATGGATAATTCGATACTTGGTTGGGCTGACTTTTTCTTCAATTTTTTAAAATTTTTCCTAATTTTTTTCTTTGCTATTTTTTTAATTCTTGTTAATTCTTTTTCTTCGGCTATTTTTTCATTTTTGCGAATTCTTTTCTCCGCTAATTTTTTTATTTTTGCTAATTTTTTTCTTCGCTTATTTTTCAATTTTTGCAAATTTTTTTCCTCAAGTTGTTTTTCCATTTCCTTCTTCATCTCTTCGGTGAAATGCTCATTTAGTGCGAAGGTCCCATTGCTTTAACTGAGCCTCGAGGTAGCAAAATAGCCGTCAGTCTAACTAAAGTCAAGTTCAACACTAGTCCAACGGTCCAACTTAGTCAACGGACCTATCCATAACCTGAATCGAACCAAGCTCCGAACTAGTTAAATTCATTTTAATTGTTATTTTGTTAATGTTATGTTGTAATTTTGTTGAAATTCATATTGTTATATCCAATTTTAGGTCAATGTTACCAATGATTTCTAAATGTTTGATGTTACAATTTAATAAAGTCATTTTTCTAATCCATCTGCGAGCACACAACAAATTTATAATTATCTTTGTAGGTTCTTATTTAAGGGAAAGTTGCAATTCAGATCTTCTCTACAGCAGCATCCAAATCCGCCTGAGTGCAATTTCTTTTACTCAACGGTGGATGGATGGCTTTTGTTTGCTCATTGATTAACACGCGCAATTATCCCGAGAGTTATGAGTGGATAATACAGCCCATTGTGTAGCTGTTTGAAGAGCACGACGTGAGCTCAGATCCAACGGTTGATCTTCAACCGTTTCATTACTATTATTACCATCCTTGTAGACTGCTGTCGCTCGCTCTACCAATGATTCGTTGCGAAACGACGATTTTGATAATCCTGCAACAAATACAATGCTATCATTTCTGTACCCCTAAATTACAATTAATTTATATTTCAGTTAAGTTAACTAAACTTATGTTTAAGTAATGAACTGATTTGGAAAATATAAACTCGGATGAATGAACACGAAAGATATCTTGACTTCTTCTTGACTCTTAAATGATAGCTATAATTTTGTTGTTTTTCGATAAACAAAAAAAAAAACATTTCCAAATCCTCTCTGGAAAATTGATTCGTTTTTTGCTATTTTTGGTTTGCTACTTTTTTGATGCGAATCTTCTTAGTAGCTTCATTCAGAGTATGTTATTTTCAAACAAATTTATTTGCTTTGATTTTGTTATATCTCTTTTTCATGAGTTGTACTTATGACATAATCCTGCATATTTTTCGCACGCTATACTTTTTCATAATTTGTATTTTACACTTTTCTTTTTCATGTACTAATTCAATTCATTCTAAAGTGTTATTAGAATCAGACTTAAAGATTTATGACAATATATACTTGTCTAACATCGCTAGGGATGTTATACAAGTTTCCTAAAAGTAATCTTTAATAATAGATCCGTATTTTTATGTTTATTGTCTTTACCCAGTGTGTTCGTTGAATGGTGTGAAAATTTTATAAATTTTTTTTATTTCTTCATTTTTCGTGATGTTGTGGTTATCAAGAGCCAGATCGATAAAGGTGCTATGGGTTGAGATCTCATCAAAAATATCTGGAAGAGTTCCATTTCTGTGTGAAAGATTTTTGTGTGAAAGATGTGAAAGAAACAGACCAGAAAGTAAAAGATATAACGGATCACCCGCAATCTGACATGGAGTAGGAAAACTCACGCGGGATCTGCACGTTGCATGATGACCACCTTGTTGATTTAAGTTACGGTGAGACTAAAAACTCATCACTCAGATATACGGGAGATGGATCAGTAATGGCTGGGGTATTGGTATATGGTTGTGTTTTCATCTCAAGTACGCGAATTGAAATGTTCCACTTTGTCATAATGAAATTATAGTGCACGTCTTTTGAAATTTCAACTTTGTAGAAATATATAGTGTGCTACATGTTCGAACTAACTTCATATCAACACTTAACTGTATTGGAAGCAAATATATTGCAATCATTGATGAAATAGTATTTTGTCGAAGGCATTCTGCATTTCGGCATGTTCTCCGTAGGTGTGAACATAATAATGTGATGAAATACCGTTGAATATTTTGACTTTCATTACAGCTAATTGGCTGATGGATCCGGGCACACACCGGATGGACTCATCGTTAACGATACGTGATATTGGCTCCAAATACGTTCTTTCATGTTGTGCTTCATTCGTTGCTGAAAGTGGTAGATTTTTTTCGGGAGCTTTCAAAAAACATTGCCGTTTTTACATTTGTGCTTTTAAGGTATTGCTCATTGATGCTGAGGTTTCCATAAATTTATTGAGGACATGGATAGATATTAGTGAAACATTCAAAATCACTAACCTTATATGTTAATTGCTGCATCATTTTATTTAATAATGGTGGGGTATGTTCCAGCAAGACCAATTAAAACAAAAATTTTTATGTCTTGAAGATGATTTGCCATTTTTCTATAGTAACTTATCCGCTGGATGTCGTCAAAACTCAATTACAAATGGTACCGAATTGTATGAAAGTGACTGGAAGTGATATTAAACGACCCACAATGTTGCGAATCACATGGCACATTTGTAAGATTGCTTCGCTCAATTATAGGTGCTGCTGCTGTGCTACATTTCGATTCGCATGAAAATATGTGTTGATATGGTTAAATTTTTTCCGGAAAGAGCTTTAGCCAAAAATTTTTGACAGTTTTACTTTTTGTTCTGTGTGGTATTTACTCCATCAACAACTCGGATAAACGCACTTTTGTTTTTTATGTATGACTCAGCCATGTTTTATATTTTCAGTGAAAGATGAAGGCCTTCGCTCTCTATTCAGTGGACTTGCCCCAGCAGTATATCGGCATTTCAGTAAGTTTTTATGAAGACATATCGAAAAACGCTAACAATAAGCTGACTGCTCCGTGCAGTTTAAGAAACTAAGCTTATTTATATGCGGTTCCGAAAATAGCTAAACCGGATCTCTATCTTGCTTTAATTAATATATGTTTCATTATAGTTTACACAGGATTTCGAATGGGTATTTACGAAACGATGCGGTTCGCAATTTTTGATAAGGAGAAACAGAAAATTTTTCCAGTATGGTATGATAATTTTTAGTTTAGTCTTGCATTTGTTTTGCTGTCTTGGTTTCACAAATATTAAACAGTTTTGTAGAGAATTGTAGGGTTTTTTTAAGGCAATCAGCAATTTGTGGTTTGGTATCTGGTGCTGTTGCACAGTTTCTGGCATCACCAACTGATTTAATCAAAGTTCAAATGCAAGCAAAGAAATTGAGGAAGTTAAACAATCTTCAGCCTCGGTTATCAATTTTGTGGTATAAAATGTCAAAGTTTCTGAATTTTTCAAACTTGTTTTACATATTGCTTTCGTTAATTTCAACTGCAGATAATTTCAGGTTGCGGAATTCATACCATGTTTTTCTTGCTCTTTACAAAAGTAACGGTTTCATGGGCCTATGGACTGGTTGGCTTCCAAACACTCAACGCGCAGCTTTATTGAATATGGCTGGTGAGTGTAAGCATGCTGTAAATTTGAAAGCCACATTGATGCGTTTCAAGTTGTATGTAATATTTTGGGTCAGGTCCTTCTCCCACAGGATATTACACTTAAGAAATGCAGCTGAATATTTTATCTCCAGTACAAGTTTGAATTTTTGTTTGAAATAAGAACTCATAGATCTTGCAACATATGATCATACGAAACACTGGTTGATGACGAAAGGTTACCTGGATAATCATTACACACATTTCCTTGCTAGTCTTGTTTCGGGCATGGCTGCTGCAATTGTGTCTACTCCGGCAGATGTTGTGAAAACACGAATAATGATTCAATTGCGCAGTACTGGTGAAAGTGCTGGTGAAAAGTCGTAAGTTTTGGTTTTTTTTTTTTCAGATCAATTGCTGGATAAATCCTTGCTTTCTTTTCCTGGCTTTTTTCCTCGTTTTTGACAATATTATCGGTGTAAGCAGTCAATTACAGGATATCTCAGTACAAAGGCTCTTATGATTGTCTAAAACGGATTTGTCAGGATGAAGGTTTTTTTGCACTGTACAAAGGCTTCGTGCCATCATATATGCGATCGGTAAATTGGTTTATAATCAAGATGCATAGAACTTATTGTTGTGAAATCTATTGGAAAATAGAAAATGTAGGTTAGTTGTTGGATTTTTTCAGTTTAATTTTCAAATCTTTGTATTAGTTTAGGCGCCTTGGTCATTGGTCTTTTGGTTAACATACGAACAACTGCGGCACATGTTTGACATTTCTGGATTTTGAAGGCATGTTGTTTGGCTTACCACTCAATTGTATGATGATAAAGTTCTAAAGTCCACGACAGTTCTGGAAAGAAATTGATCATATATTGCTTTTACTACTTCATCTCACATTTTATGTTTGTTTGTTCTTGTTAATTTTAGAATATCAGAATAGCTGGAAGCAAGTTGTAGAAGCGACGACAAAAATAACGATCTCAACCTTATTTTTTTTTAAATAATAAGTTGATGGTATTATTCGATAGAATAGTTATGTATGTAGTTGTAAGAGAATCATAGTAAGCGATAAGTGTTAAATAAAATTTATTTCTGAACTGGTACATACAGATTTATACAGCTTTCAATATTTATATTAATTTTCCCAATCAGGAATTAACCATGATAACGCAAAATACGTTATGGCGAATTCTTGATTGAAAAAAAAATGATGTAAACTAGATTGAATATTATCGGTTGCAATGTTGAAACATTTCTTCTAACAGCGTTGAATGCCGCAGAACTTCATGTGACATGGTCTGAATACATTTGTCCAGGTCTTGAATATTTCTTCTACGGTAGAATTCAGATTCTGGATAAATTGTTATACTCCTTCCAGTTCGTGATTTTTCCGAAAGGAAAAAGAACTGCGAAGACACCAACAAACTGGTTGTCGTTGCTTATGTAGTCCTTTTTTTCAACCAAATAACGGACTGCCTTTTTAACTACTCTAACCAGCTGAAATTTCGTTCTTATTAATTGATTGAAAAAAACTATAAAATATCTGTGCATTTTCGGAAGTCATAAACTACCTCTTTCGAAATCAAAAGAAAACACCGGGAAATTGATTGGCGTAGCGTTCCAGCAATGATGGCCATCGGCTGCACTAATAAAGTCAGCTTAATTCAGTGAAGTGGTCGGTTTTCCAGCTTTTATTTGTGTCATACCTTTATGGGTACGGGATTCTTTGCCGGGAGTGATTCTTGCTAGACTGGGTGCAGACAAACAGATTATATGATAGTTTTGATATTAAGATTATATGGTTCGGCGTTTCATTTTTTATTTGCCCGTTTTTTATAAGTCAATTGGCTGAAGCTATCAGTTTATAGGAAATCATCCCTTCCTCAAAAGGTTTTTCATGTTTTTGGTTTTTTTTTTCCCTGTCATTTTAGATTTGAATTGTTCTTCGATACGTTTTGTTTTACACACATCTTTTATGCATTTCGTGTTTTTCTATTACATGTTTTATGCGCGTGTAATATGCCGTTCATTGTACATTTGTTGCTTTTTTAATGTTCTTCATATATGGAATATTTATTCTTGGTGATATAACGTGAATTTGAATGTATTATACTTTTTGGGATTTATTACTTTCAGAATGTTTCTTGAGTACCGCTATAAATTAGACGAACAAGCTATTAAATGAAAACATTGGGAGCGATGAAGGTTCGTTGACTGTTCATTTCTGAAGTGTCAAAATTGAATTTAAACTCAGTTTAATCAATAGAAAAATGAATCGTTGTTATATGTTAAATTCATTCTATTTTCTAACTTTCTGCACAAATGCAGTATGTCTTATTTGTATCATAATTTTATATCATATACGTTTCATATCTGTGTACGTTACTTATTGCATGCTTATGCAGAAATTGGACATGGATGGTTCATCGGCGGCTAGTGCCTCGAAAGAAACGGGAACGGGAAGTAGCGATACTGCCTCCACTTCATATCAACAATGTATGCTATTTGATCTAATTTTCATTCAATTGAAATCAAATTTGCATGGAATTGATAATTAGCTTTACCTGTAAATCTACATTTCCTGTGTTGTAGATCCGGAAATGAGTGCTGAGCAAGAGTTTTTCTTATACGAACTTGAAACGACTGATTCGGGTAGTGTTGGTTTGGTGCTAAGGTTAGCTGCTAATTTATTATTCTTCCGTTACCCATTTAAACTTTTTTCAATTTTTGAGCAGCTGTAATTGTTTAGAGCAATCTATGATTGTGGTGATGTCCACAAATTCGCACGTGCTCTAGAGCATCGCATACATCATTATGATAAAAGCATCCAGAGAATTTGCTCGTATCATTATCAAGGATATGTTGATGCAATGAAACAACTGTTGCAATTGAAGACACAAAGTTTGGAAATCAAGGTATATTTTCTTTTATCTAATTTGTAATGATATGATTTTAATATGTTTGAGAGTTTCACTCTACTTTTCTCAAATGTCAATACTAAGTTGCTATATTTGTACATGAGAAAGCTGTAAATTGGTTGTGCATGGAGGATTTTCCAGGATGAAGTTAATGCGGTAGATCATAATATCCAAGAAAATAGCAAAGAGTTGCGAAAACGTAGTGCGGAAATAGTGCGTTATAGAAAATTGCAAAGGAATGCGAACACTGCTATCGATCACATTTCTCTGTGTTTGCCCGTTCTTGAAAATTATGCAAAACTAAACGAGCATATGCAACAGAAGAAGTAAAAGCTACTATTTTTTCAGTCTTATTTAATTTTGTTTTATTTTTTTATAATGATTATGTTTTTCTATAGCTTATAATATACACATAGAAAAATAACCATGATATTATTTATGTTTAAATTAACTGTGAAAGAAATAAAACTTTTGTCTTTACAATTCATTTTAGTTTAACTGATAGTTATGACTTTGAATAGTATGATAATTTACAGGTTTTATCAGGCACTGAAAGTACTCGAAGAATTGGAACACACCTATATGGTTCATGTTGACAATTATCGCTTTACACAAACGTTGAAAAAATCATTACTTCCAATTCGTGAACAAATTAAGGAAAAATCGTTTTCAGAATTCACGGATTTTCTAGAAGATATCCGAAAAGTTTCCGGTTGGTTTTTTTAAGCGATGAAAGCATGAATTTTCCGTTTGGTTTACCGTTGTTTTTACTATCATTTTATGAAACGGAGTGAGTTACTTATAGATTTGGTCATGTAGGATCTTTTTTAGGACGCATCGGGCAGCATGCATCAAAATGCACTGCTGAACAACACTCTTTTGGAATGACCGAAGCTGAACGTGTGAAACGTTTACAGGAAGAGACGAAAAAGAATGCTGTGAATGGTGACGTCGGTAAATTTTTAATTTTTCATATAACATGTGACATTTGTCAAGTGCAGAATTCAAGTAAAAAAGTGCTTTTAATTTAAATCGAATTACTCTATGAATGCTGAAGAGTACTTATTGGGATTTTAGTTATATTATGAATGCAGCACCCGGCTGATAGTCTCTCTGTGAGTTCTGTAAGACCATTACATTTCATCAATCTAACCAATTTAGTTCAGGTATGATTTTTCAGTGCTTTCATCGGATGGTTCAGTTGTCAAGAAAAATGATAAAGGACAACGAAAAACAATGCAAATACCCCTTCTTGAAGAGGACGAGTTACTTAGTGCTCAAGATCTTATAGATTTCACACCTATTCATCGATGCTGTCAAATCTTCAATGTTATTGTAAGTACAACTTTTCTTCGGTGTGAAATCCACGCTACTCTTATCTTTACTCACCTGTTTTGTATCTGTTTTTTAAACTTTCGCTCATTTTTATTTTTTTTATTAATAAATTGTTCCAGTCATTTATGTGAGCTGTCGCATTTCAGGGTGAGAAAGAGACTTTCGAGGCTTATTATAGAAAACAACGGAAGGAGCAAGCAGTGGTTGTTATTCGACCACCAAGCAAACTGGTAAGGAGCGTCTTGAGAAGTCATCCTCTATCCAAAACAGATGTATAACTTAGTGGCCTAAACCATGTCATTTTTATCCTATCGATCACTACCGATCAGAGTTTTTTGGTTTCCCAAGTAAGAATAATCGTTTTAGCAAGAGTCAATACATTCATACGTGAAGTATTTGGATGAAATTATTGGCTTCTTCGTAGTAGAAGATCATATTATGCAAACAGAATCTAGTTTGGTAACGGCGGCTTATAAGGATCAGCTTTGGGAAATGGCACTGCATCAAGTTACAACCACCATGAATGCCCATTTTGTAAGTTTCTAATAGCAATGTACTAATCTTATTGTAATCATGATGTGTTATTTGTGCATCTCGATGTAAATCTTAATGAAATGATCCATCTTGATAATAAGAAGAGTAACAATTTTTGCTATAGGGAGGTTGTTTGGATGTTGAGATGATGTTGAAGATGAAGAAAGTAATTTTGTTGTTTGCGATGACAATGAAAAGTTATGGATTTGGAATTGGTTCTCTTTACACTCTTCTTCAAAATTTCAGGTATTTTAAGCGGTTTTTCTAAACCGAATGTTCTCTGGAAATTGGATATGCAAAGAAAGTTAATGATTTTTTTTTCTTCTTAATGAAATAAATCTTGCTTCAATTTAGAGATCAGTACAATGAAATTCTGATGCGGGAATATTGTGCCCAATTTGAGCGAGATCTTGAAAGTGACAATTATACACCAATCACAGCAAAAGATGAGGAAGCATTCAAAGCAGTAGTGACACAGTTCCCCTTCTACCGAAGAGGAATGGATCAAGTATGTGTTGATGTTACTAATTTTTCATAATTTCTGATAATTTCATTAAGCTTTTATTAAAATGTTTTCTGCATTCCAGGAGCCCTATCCTCGGATCTTTCCGTTTTCGAAGTTCGTGCCAGCAGTGTACAGTCAAGCGAAGAATTACCTCGTTGGTTGCTTGAAATTTATGGAACACTTGCAGCTTTCTCCCACTGAGGTCTGCTTGTACTGCTTCCTGAAATTTCTTTGATATCAATTTATCACTGTAGTCTTTAGGCTATGAAATGCTTTACCACTCTAGTTTATCTTCTTGATATTACTGTCATGAGTTTCAAATTTCCAAGGAAAACTTTTACTAATTTACATTCACGTAGTTAATTCCATTAATATCATCCAAAAAACACTACCGTTTTATTCTTTTTTCTAGGTTGATGACACAGTGCGCCGTTATGCAAATGTGCTTCTTGCACGATGGTCGGGTTCTTTGAAAAGTTTTGTAGCTAATAAAAAACGAACGCTCATACAGGTAGGAAGGTTGATATGTGATATTATTGTATATAATAGATAAATTGAAGATTTTTCACGTCGTTTGCTTTATTTAACATTTTTTAGCTTATTCAAATTACAATTAATATTGGTTATCTGGAGAAGACGTGTGAATCACTGGAGCATTATATTAGTAAACTAACAAACGCAAGTAATGGTCCTGGTAGCACTGCAGGGCATTTAGTTGCATTGAAAGATCAGGTTTTTAGGTTTGTTTTTTTTTACGAAGTTACAAAGGAAAAAAACAATTCAAAGGGTAGTCATGAGTTCATTTTTGAATTAATGCTTTTTAGAGATGCGCGTTCTGAAGTAGAGCAGCAAATTGATGACGCACTTCGTGACAAAGTGGATGCTTTTCTTGACCTTGGTTAATTTTACTTCCGACTTGTTTTTCCAGCTTAAGTTAGAATTGCTATTCTTTGAAGTTCAATTAAACGATTCTGTCCAATAAAATTTCAGCAAACTACGATTGGGAACTGTCAGGTTCGAGTGGTCGAGCGAGTGATTACATCACAGATTTGATCAAGTTTTTGGAAACAACTTTCGTTTCATTTAGTAATTTGCCAAGCCTTTTGGCAAGGCATGTTTGCATGCAGGTAAGAATTTTTATAACTTCATGAAATGAAAAGTGATGTGTTTTCTATTAACTAAAAATCGAGTGTTTTTTTTTGGTCCTATTTTCTTTTTTCTCCTTACTGGTATAATCAGGCTAAAAATTATGTTTTGTGTCTGAATTATTGTCTTTTCTTCAGCGCAGTAACGGAATGATCACAATTTAGTATTCTCAAGCGTATTTACGCAAACGAACTTTTATTTATAAACAATTTGCAGTAAGGACAATTAAATGCGTTTTGTTTTAGACTTGTAAATATTTGGCAAATCGATTAACAGAATTACTTCTGAATACGGATTTGAAAACTGTGAGCACTGGTGCACTTGATCAGTTTGATTTGGATGTGATACAGTGCGAATTATTTGCTTCTCAGTGTCCTGTTGCAGGATTGGAAGTATGTGCCAGCTTTTTTGACCGCTGTTATTTGTGAGTAACTTCTAATTTAATTTATTTCAGGATGGAACTAACTTCTAATTCAGTTTATTTCAGGATGGAACTCTTGCGGTGACTTTTGCTAGTTTGCGACAACTTCTTGATCTGGTTATGAAGGCTGATTGGCCAACTTACTTGGCTGATTACGGAAAAGAAGAAAGCAAGTATTCAAGAGTCAAAGCCTCGCATGCGATTGTCTTATTGGAGAAGTATGTGTTAACTAATATTTCATTTTTTTAAAAATTTGCTTTACAACAAACCCCTTATTTGTCGTTGCATAAATTCCCAACTGTGAGCATTATGGTTACATCTTTTCAGTTTTATTGTTGCAAGATCTGTTGTGTTATGTCTATATTTTAGGCTGATTGAATTCGAACGCAAATCATCAAGTTTTTTCGCCAAAGGTCGTGAGAAGGATCGTAAAAAACTTCTGGATACAATTCTTCGTCAACTACGAGCTCTTGCCAATCAGTAACTTCGTGAAAAATCGTCAAATTTTTTGTGGATTGAGTTTCTGGTCTAAAAATTTTGACATATGCAATATCTGTTAATTTATTTTGTTAACTTTCATAACTACCCACTTCTTGAACATATCATTTCATTCAAAAAAATAAGCTTTGTTGTCTTTATCATTACCGAGTCGGGTTTTAGTAACTTTAAATTACTGTTCAGTGAGGAAGCATCTTCCGTATCCCATCATTTTCGTAAAGATGCCATAGTCTTTGTTTAACCTTTTATCTGTTTTAAAAGTCATAGTTATGTGATTTTTTCCATTCCATTTGACGTACACGTGTTTTTTCAAGTTGTATTTATTGCGATGGAATTTGTACGTAAGGTATTAGAGGGTTTTTTCTTTCATTTTTTTTATTATGTTACAGGTGCTTATAAGAACTACTGACCTTGAGTAAATTGGCTTACCATGACTGTAATTTAAAAGTTTGAAATTTGTGGTCTCATTAGAGATTTTCTTAAAAGTCTGCAAAATTGTTTTGCATGTACTGTGATGCTTTTCTTTTTTTGCTCAATAGTTGTTACTATTAAGTTGAATGAATTACTCACCACAATTTGTTATTTCATTGCACAAGTTGATCTTTTTGAATGACATATGAATTTATTCATTTGTTCGTTCCAGAAAATTCATTTTGTATGTTGGATGATCAGTGAGATTAGTCAAATGAGCATACGGTAATTGTTCTCATGGTACGGACAGTTGAGTAAATATTATCAAATAATCCGCAGTAATAAGTGCAGAGTTTACACGCTGCCTGATGCTAATTGCAGCATTGCTCCCTGTGCCACTGGTAGATATGCATTCCGGATTATTTTTAGTTTTAAGTATGGTGAATTTGCGAGAATTCGAAGTGGTATTTGTCTCTTAGGAAAAACAAGTTCTTCCTGAACTCGGAATTTTCAATAAAATTTATGCTAAGAAACCAAACATAAAACTTTAATGGAGAATTATCTCTGTGGTGTTCAGTACATACGGTTTCATAATTTAATTTATTGGCTCATTAATGAAGAATTAAAAAGAATATTCAACAACCATTCAGCAACTGAAAGCTGGGAATTCGCTATTCTAAATATTTCACTAACTTTCCTGACAAACACCATTTAGCAGTAGAAAATAGAGTTAAATAGTTACAATTTACTTTAGTTGTGATGTTTACCCTAAAATTTTTCTGCTGTTTCCCGCAATCGGTTTTGATATCTTTATTTCTACAGTCATCACAAACTTGTACAGAATGGTGAATAAAATAAGCATAGTAGTATTGAACAATCTAATATATATCTTTAATGAAAAATTTAGTAGTGCATACTGCCTTATTTTCATTAATAAATTAATAAAGCTATCTGCAAAAGATCAAATTGTTCATTTTTCATTTTAGGTTATGTTGCGGTACATGCTTGCTAGTATCATTTGCCAATCAGTCTTTTCAAGTATGCTTCAATTAACGATTTTCTGATTAAGGCCCAAAATCCAAATCATCACATATACAATCATTCCATTTAATACATTTCGTCGGATTATGGAATAATTATGTCAGTCTCCTCAAAAGAAGTAAAAGATAAAAATTATCAAAAAAGAGTTATTTATATCAGCTGATAATTTATGTCTCAACGATTCAGAACTTCCAAACTTTATCGATTTAACGAATAATAATGTCCTCTTGATTTGCTTGTAACTTTTAGGATATAGCTATCGTATCATATTTTGACATCATTGATGCTAAACTATGGTGTCTAACTTCACTTCTATGCTTTTATACAATATTCGGTTACATTTTATCATAAAACTTAAGCATCAAATGTCAGCGGTATACTTAAAATAGCAATATATTTGTATATTTGTCATTCATTATTATTAACTAAATTAATTAACAATGCTTTATCAAATTAAATTTGCAGGTGTATCTTCTCAAGAATATATATGTCCAGATGATGTAATGTATTTGGATCTGAAACCATGTAATCCAAATGACCGAAATCAATGTCCAAAAAATTTTGCCTGTCGACGTAGTCGTTTATCCAGATCTGGTACTATAACCAATGAAATAATTCATCTGTGTTGTGAAGCTAATAATATGACGATTGGAAGTTGTATGATTTTAAAATTGAATTACATCCGATAAACATAGCAATTTACAATGAAACAGAAATTTCTTCCAATTATATTTTTTTTTAAATCTTAAACACCAAAAAATATTGAATCATTTATAGGGTTTGAAGAGCTGGAACTTTCACCTCAAATATTTCCACAATATCCATCATCCATTCTCGATTATGTTAGTTTAATATGAAAAATTTATAGCGACATTTTTTATTGTGGTATGTATCAGAGATATTGTAGTTTTGATTGTTACTTCTGAGTTAACAATATCTTTACAAATGAAAGAACGAATGAATATTCTTTTAGTACTATGATTATTAGTAAAACATTCAGAAAATGATACAAAAACCATTAACAATTATATAATTACTTCATATATTTAGTAATGATTAACAGGTAAATATAAGCAGTTATGATGCAAAATATCCTTCACCAGTTGTTCATTTGGGTGATGAATTGCAAGTACTCAATTATCCTAATTATATAACTGCTAATATACGAGCTTTTCAATTTCAATCAATAATTCCAGCTCGTGGTGGATACCTTCATGTAGTCTCACTAATTGGTAATAATTTACTTTAGTTATTTTGTGCATTTCATATATTTTTTTTCAGTTATTATGTGCATTTCATATAACTCTATTTTTTTCACCTATCACCGAAATGTATGCTTCAGATATTACGAAACGGCCATCTGCACTATTTATTAATTATGATTTACCATCAACAGGTTCCGCTTCAGTAAATACTGAAAATATCACTGATTCGAAACATCATTTTTTCGGGTATATCAGTAATGGAACCATATCTGTGCAAGATACTTGTAAGCTTTATTGTTTAATAAAAAGTTGAATCGACCATCTTCCTATATTCCACAATCTATATTTCGAGCAAATTTTAGTATTACAGGATAGAAACATAAGACTGAAAACTTAAACTAGCAAACTTAATCTTCAAGAGTTCACTAAATGTTAGAATCAAACCAAAAAGTTAGTTGTAGCGATGTGTTCTTTTAATCGGCTGATTTTTTCTTTTTTCTCGCATTAATTAAAATCAAATAATGCTTAATTCAACCGCAATGAGATTAAATTTCATTATTAAAACACGCCTTCTTAGTCATTGTACTACATATAAAAAATTTTAAAAAGAAAGAATCTTCTGTTAATATATTCTTCTGATGACATTAAAAGCTTCAATAATATTATTTTTCATTATTCCAATAAAATTAAAAGATTTCCATCCACAGATCGTCAGCAATACGTTGTAATCGTATATAAGACCGAATTTCCTCTGAGTGATCACGTGAATGTTACCGCTGATATAATACGCTTCATTGATCAAATCTCTTATTTCATCAGCAATTCAGCAACTGGTCGTGCTCTTGGTAAACCTATTGCTGGATTATTCTTTTATGTAAGTTTTCTTTTCATCAAAAAATTATGAATAAAATTAGATTACTTAAAAAAGAAAAAAAAATGGGATGACTATCATATGATGATAAAAGCAATAATTCCACTTCATTAACAACAACAACTTTTGTAACCGTTGGAGTGATGATTAAAGATGTAATTTACTAATATTTCTCAAGATATTGATGTGTCTTATGAAATACTCTCAAAAATAGAAATTAACTAAAAATTTTGAGTAAAGTAGGAATAATTATCAAAAGTTTCATAAGTTTTTCAAATGATTTCATCCAATCTGCATTAAGCTGTTAAGCTGCATTAAAATGTTTCTGTGTTTGAAATTTGGCACAAATATGGTACCATACAGATATTATCAATATAACTATGACATGTAAATGAACAAAAAAAGATAAAAAAAGCCGAAATCGATTATTGGAGAGTATTTGCTACAAAATAATGTAACTGGATGATTCAATTATCTTTTCATGATTCATAAATTTCAGATTACATCGAAGCGAACATTATTTCCAATACAACCTAAACCTCAACCAATGCCACCATATTTACCGCATCGCTCCAAATCTTCGACGATATGTAATCGAAATTTTATTCTTGCATGGTTTCTTTTAGAAATTATTTTGACATTTTTTTGTATTGTTTGATTAACTGTCTTTAAAAATTTTGCTTGTGAATGTTTTTCAAATTTCATGTATATTAGGGATTTTCGATGCTAATCCTTACAGCTGTAGCATGTTTATAAACAAAAAAAAAGGTAAAGAAAAACTGAAACCGTTGATTCGACCAAAATTGTTCCAAAATGCTACTTTGTTATGGTAAGGTTATAGTGGGTCAAAATCAACAATCATCATGTAAGCAAAATAGCTGTTTTTGAATTCTTGAATTTGAAGAAGTAACTAACTAAAAGTTAGCTTAATTGCTGAAGTTCCGGATTAATCCGGAACTTTTAAGGCAACCATTGTATGCCTAGATTTTTGGAAATTTCGAATATTTCTTTTGTCATACTAAATAGTTATGATAATGACATGATAATTTATTCCTGTGAAAATCTTTCTGATGATGGTAATTTCATTAAATCTAAAGGACCATTGCATAATAATTTAGAAAGCAATTGCTAAAATATTGTTGCTCTTTTTATTATTTATTGATGTTTAAATCTTAAATTTATAACTTCAATTAATTTATTATATTTTGTCATATGAATTCCTTGTAAATAAAACGGAAGCAGATTTAAAAAAAAATTCTTTTTTCCATTTGTTTATTGTTCGTTTCCTTTACAGAAGTTGATTAAATCATCGCTCTAAGTTTTTTTTTTTTTCCAGAGACACATTATTTCATGATATAAAAATTGACTACTTCATCTTATGATCAGAATTCATTTATAATAAATTGCAAGAAGATAAGTGAAATAATTCGAAGATTTATAATTTTTTCTAGAATGTCTATCGGTTTTTATTTTTGACCAAATCGATTATACTGGTAAGAGTTTTATATTCTTATTGAAAATTTTTAATAAAAATAAAAGATACACAACAGCTGGCATACATGGATTAATGTCGAAAGCATTGAAAATGGTAACGATGCTACTGAGAATTATGTTGATTCGTTCTAACATTATGGATCTGTTGAGAAGTCAGTAATGGAAGCGAGTTGAATTAGCTGTTGGAAGCAATAACGGTTTGCTATTTTTACAAACTTTGTGATCTATTTACGCCTATGCCGTTAGTTATTTCTCTTTTCAACAATCGTAATCATTTTTTTCTTCTCGATTATATATATATATATATATATCGAGTAGAAAAAAGCATGAGCATTTAGTCATTCTTCAGAAATAGTAGATCTTTAACAAAGAGAGAAAATAATTAATACAGGAAGCTTTAATATATAAGCAATGAAATCAAAGTAATTATCCGAATTTTTGCTTTGAAAATTTGATCTCATTTAATCGAAAAGATAAAATAGATGCTATAAATTGTTTTCTATCAATTTCTTTCTATATTTTGTTGTTTCTATCAAGAATGCACAATGAATAACCATGTTCATTTACTAGCTTAATTAATAACAATCATACTTTGTATTGAGTCATTTTTGCATCAGTTGTACACTTAAGATTTTGAAAATACCATCGTTTCCATACACTTGGTAGCTAAGTTATCAGTTTTTCAAAACATTAAAGTGAATAAACCCCTTTTTTCTTTAATACTCAATATTTACAGTGGAAAAGACAATTTAAAAAAGAAGTTTTTATTACTCCTAAAAAATGGAATACAAAAAACACAGAAAAAATTGAAATCACAAAACACCAGTAATTTGAAACACAGTTAGACTTTATGGCTTCATTTTTCGAATTTTGGGAGCTACATATAAGGCTATTGGACAGAAAGAGAAGGAAAATAAGTGATAATAAATTAAATGATAATATAAGTAACAGTAATAAATAAGTAGTATAATTTATAAAATCATTCTTTCAGTAATTTGTTATTGGCTATTCAAAAATGCCGAAATTCAAGTCGGGGGATTCTTTTTGTCCGACATCTCCTTCTCTTCATCCAAATGCTCATGAAAATCAGTTGGCATCTGAAAAAAAAGGACTTGTTTGCTCATGATTGAACTTCTCTCTAAACCTCAACTTTCTATTCATAACTTTGATATTATCTTCCCTCATATAAGAATATACGAAGCAAAACATGAACTTGTGATTTGTAATTTTCGTTGCTGAGAAATTTTTACATTTTTTGTATTTTTTAGTAATGTAGACAAAGTTAAGTCTAAAAATATCATAATGAACTTATTCATCATAAGGAATATGAATTAGGGTGTAACTCATATTAAGCCAATAAATCTTACAAGTCGAACTTAACACTCTCTCAGGGTTTGTTTTATGTCGATATTTGACGACGACATAAGTGGGGGAGAAGTTATTGTAGTTTAGCTACAAAGTATTTGAGTTAAATTCACCAAACTAAAGTATTTTATTTCTAAATTCTATCTATATGATTGTAGAAAAACATAAATGAACAGTGAAAGATCATTAAACAATAATTCGTGTTAGAAATTTTCAATGAAAATTATTTATATTATTCCATTTATAATCTCCATTTTTTTAATTTGTTTTCTATTAGCAACTTTGAAAAGTCAAAATTTATCAAACTTACAAAAGTTGATGAGGTTGATTCCGTAACCCAGCTGTCATCTATATCACTCTCCTCTGATGAAAACGCTGAAAAATAAGGGAGAAATTAGCTCTGCTACATTGGCTATTCGTAATTATTAACGAAGAACAAAACTTTTCTTGCAACGAGCGACTTTTACATTTTTTTTTTCTTTCTTACATTTGTTGCACATCGTTTTTCACTGAAAAGAACAAAACGGAATGAAATATGGTATTGTTTAATGTTACCGGATGCGAAAAAACAACAAACTTTCAGGCCAACTATATTCGTCATCTTCATCTTTTTCTGGAGTGTTAGAGTGCTTTTTAATCTTTTTCGCAAAAGCCTTTTGTTTCGCTCCCTTAATTTGACGATGATCAAGTTTATCTCCTCCATACATGAGATTATCAGTAATATCATCATATTGAGTCGTGTATATACGTTTGTCGATATGAGTTGAATGGTGGAACTTGGAATGTTTTTTCCAAGTCTTTTTCCTGCACAATAGATTCAAACATTTTTCATTTGTAATGATGATGACATTTTAATTGTTTTATTTAATAATGATCGAAAATGTATTCTGAAGAAAAATCTTCAGTAACTTTTCCCATTTTAATATTTTACTGCCCATTTTAATATTTTACTGCTCATATTTGTCAATGCTAATCATCATTGATTATATGCTAATAACTTAATCTTCCGAAATATTGTGTATCTAAAATGGTGATCAAAATTTTACAGCTGAATGATAATTAAATAATTTAAATAATCAGCAGAAAATTGATTCAGTATAATATTTCTTCGACTTCTAAATTTTAGAATTCTTCATCTTCACTAAAAAAAGAAAAATTTCCATATTGTTTCTTTGTTTTAAATTTAGCTAATGGATCCAAATCAAATGCAACCCTTTATCTTTTAATCATAAAGCAAATTTAAAAATAATTTAGCAAAAAACTTACTTTTTTCGAAAGGTATAATCCAATACCAATGCATCGTAGTCCTAAAATTGATACAATTTCAAATATGTCTTTAAAAATTACTGTGAATAAACAAGATTTTTATTATGACAGCTATAACTTATGTATAAATAAATTTTCAAATCTACAACTTAAATATCCGGAAAAAGTAAACTGGAGTAGAGGATACGTATCATCATATCATATCTGTTAATAAGAAGCAAAACTTAAATTCCAGAACACATTAGCAGTATAATAAAGTATTTTTGAATACTTAAAAAATGGCTAAAGTAACCATAACGACTATTAAGTTACTTCCATCAACATTATTATAGCATTAATAGAAGATCAAGTACAGTTTTTTCATAGAACAAAAGGATTAAAGCAATGAGATACTTTGTAAATACCCGAATAATACGATTGAAATAGGATGAATTTATAAGTCCTATTGTTCTATTCGTTACATGTACAAAATAATTGAAAGATTTTAAAAATGTTTGAAATCAGAAAAGAAAACTACCAAATCAGTTTCCAGCGTCACATTATCATTTGTGCTGCTATATCCTTTCCATTTTCGCAGATATTCGTTCATCTTCTTTCTTTTTGAATAACGGTTCTGGACTTTTCTCTTCATAGCGAATGCTACTCGGTCATCATCCTCATCATCATCATTGTAACTGCTATCACAATGATTAGCATCCATTTTTTGCACCTGAAAGTGCTATGTCCTGCTAACAAACCAGAGCAAATGTTACTGTTTATGGTACAACTGAATTTAAATAAATGAAATAGAAAACAATGACTGGGGTTGCTTAAGATCAAAAACTATAGTTCATTACCTGAGGTTGAAAAAAATAACAGGTGATTACTTTAAAATCGGAATAAGTATTTGATTTTTTGAGGTTGAAAACAAATAACAGTTGATTACTTTAAAATCGGAATAAGTATTTGATTTTTTGAGGTTGAAAACAAATAACAGTTGATTACTTTAAAATCGGAATAAGTATTTGATTTTTTG